ACTTTCTAACTCTTCGTTAACCCATAATAAGAGCGAAAATAATTCAGTTTACGTGTATAATTTTTCAGCTTTATTTCAAATTCATGTTGTGCAACTTTGTTAGAATTTTGATCTCAAATACGGAGATAATTAAAAAATTAAGCGCGGAAGAGAAATCTGCAAAGAACGAAAAAATGGATTTTGACGTCAAGGGCGGAGCAGCCAACATACCTGAAATTGTGTGTATCGCAATGTAGAACTCTTTTCCAGACAGGACGACCTGATAAAACCATAACAACGGGAAAAAAAATAATGTGTTGGGTTTTTTCCCATTGATATACATTTTTTTTTTACAATTAATTCAACCAAAGTGAAATCAAAAGCACCGGACAACCATCAATTATTATATACGATATTAATATCGTTACGGTTTTTATATCGTTGACCCGAATTGCATAAATCGGCACTGCATGATTCTAAGTCATCCTTTCCCACAAATGAAAATTTTACACCGGGGTAGCAACGCCATACATTTTTAAAGAATAGGCTGAGAAAAGAGACTGTTTGATTTTTGTAAAGTTATATATAATAACAAAGAAGGAAAAAGTATTAAATGCTTCGCGATCGTCTTACTTGCGAAACCATCTCCGGCTAACGTGACTTAAAATGATGTAGCGATGCTGCTCCGGGTCGATAGACTTATGCATGTTTATCATTTCACCGAAACTTTTCTTATTATCATAGGAATTAGAAATTTTGCATAATTGATCAATTCGTTCTTTAAAAAATGTTGATGAATTTTCATGAAATTATCTCCGTCCTTTATGGAGTAAATGTAATTGTCTCAATAATATCCGAACAGCCCTCGTACAAGGGTCATTTTAAAAGTTTGTAGACTGTTGTAATACCTTTTGTATTAAACGTCGTATACCTAACAAAATTACCACATAAGCAGCAGCACGTTCTAGAAAGTACAAAGAAAATTATTATAAAAAAGATAACTTTTAGTTTTAACCAGGGTATGCCCTTGCGATATTGAAATTTGTTCATTACATGTACTTCCCTTCAGTACACATGCTGCGGATTTATCACCTGATTGACTTTTGATGGTACCAAACTTAATTCAGTTCAAAATTGGAATATTCTTTATTTTCAATAAGCTTCTAAGATCTGGGATAAGAAAACGTCTTTATACACATGTATATGTTAAATCAGCGAATTCCTTTTATTAGTAACTTAATAATTGTCTGTAATTCTTATATTTGTGGAGATATAAATGATTTTGTGGTCATTTTTAACTCACCTGAAATACAAGATTCTACCGCAATCGACAATCTCGTACAATTTAATGTTCTTTTGAAGAAAAAAAAAATAGAAAAGCACATAATAAAGAGAATTCATACTAATTTCTTAGATGGGGCTAATTTTGCTGTAGAGCTCATATTTCCATCAATCTACATTCCCTGACGTTACTCCAATTTCTTATAAATATGATTTTTTTTTTCTTTTCTCTTACAACTAAGAACCTTCCTGAACACTCCTTATATATCTCGGACTATTTAAACTACACCGAAGGTCATTTTCTAACTGGCTAGTTCCAACTTATCTTAAACCGGGCCCAAACTGTTTTCTTTTTCCGAAGTAAACCTGTAATGAGAATTTGTAAAATTCGCTTATATCGGTACGCATCATTTATATTCCTTAGTCAAAGTCGCTTTTATTTCAAGTTTTCCCCAGGAGTAAATTCGATTGGACTTCACAGAGGAGATTGACATTGTTATATACGTAGTAAGTTTTAATTGAATGATGAATATTTAATGTTTGTTGCGTGTTCTTCTTAAATGGCAAAGCTTAGATTTTTTTAACATTTATCTACCACTACGGTTTTCCCGGCCATTATTTTTTTGATAATAGATGCAAAATTAATGCGGCTCCAAGGTTAATGTATATCTCGTGAACCTCTAGCTTTCTGATTTTTTTTTTTTTTGGGGGGGGGGGGGGGGGGGGAGGGGTGGATTCAAGTTTGTTCGCAAAATTCTATTTAAAAGAAATGTTTGGGCTTTTACAAGGAAATCAATAAAAAGAACTTGCCTTATCTTATTGTAAAAAAGTAAAATTATAGCAAACTTGTCATATTTCAATGAAAAATGGGGAAAAAAAAGCATCAAATTGACTGAATGATCAAAGCGTGATCCAATATACTTTCTGTGGAATTTCAAGCCTTCTTACAATATCAGAAATGTTTTTTTTTTCTAATTCAACAGAGGTATATTTAAAAATACTTTTCAAGGTTTGTACCGAAGTGATCATAGAAACCTTTTATCTTCATTGTTGAAAGGAAACCTGCCTCATATTTTTCATTTAAACCCAATTTTTATGCTTTCAAGTTGCATGCTATCTAATTCATAAACACATTTGAAATAAAAAGAAAAGAAAATTACCATCTTTTTCTTTCAAATGAGTTGATGTTTTATTTACACGTGAGAGCCATCTACCCCATTTCTCTAGAAAGTTGTTGAAAATAAGGTTATAAGGAAAATACGTTAGAACACTGTATATTAATTTGACTTCGTGCCAAAAATGAGGGTAGGATATATATATTTTATTTCAATGTGAAGTATGGGACGAAGTCATTCTTTTTTACTGAATTATTATTTTTCACCAGGTGAATTTTATTAGGAAAAGCTAAATGGTAAAAATCTGCCTATGTGATATTGCTAATTTTTTGTCATTTTCATCTTCCTTTTAAAACTCACCTGGCTCAGAATATTTTTCTAAAGTTTATATCACACCTTTAGCACCAAGGAAACATATTATGAAATTTGTTTTCACCTGTAAACCTTTACTGAATGTGATTGCCTATATTTGTTTTTTTTTATTGAAATATTACTAATATTTTCCAAGTCTATTTCATTTTTCAGTTCTTCGGAGAAAAAATTCTAAGAACCATCCACTTCTCTAAACTTGTGACATGATATCTAATCTTTCTCAAAGAAAAAATTTGTTTGTATCATCTGTCCTTAGCAAAAAAAAAATTATTCTTTAACTGTTTATTGTTTTTTCACTTTCAATCTTTTCATCTCTTGAACTCTACCATAATAAGTACACAAAAGGGGTCAAATGTGAATTTTAATGCTTATTCCTGAAAAAAAAAATACTCTGCAATACCATGTCTGCTATTGATCTTGTACCATGAAAAGGAAATAAATCAAGAATTTTTTAATGTGGCTTTTTAGCAGTAAGAGTATTTGCAACTATGATATGATAATATCATATTTAATGTTGTGATTGAATAATTGTATATTGTTTTATGCCCTATTCGAGAATTTTTGCACTCAGAAAGAGACGATACGAAATCGAGTGAAGGGCTGAAATTAGACATGCTATTGAACAGTGAAGAAATTTTATCATGACAGGGTCTGTCGTGACAAGGATCCTTGGTGCTTTAAAGTCTCACCCAAAGCACCCTCAACATTCACTTCAAAGTGCCGAGTGCTTGGCAAAGGAATAGTTGCTACCTATTGCTGCCTATTTTTATCGGTTTAGGTCAGTCGCAGCCGAGATTTGAATCACGGAGCGAGTGCACTTCTGACTGAACTACCATGAACGGTCAAAACGTTGAGAATATGGCACAAATATAAACCGTTGCTATGGAAAAAAGATAGAAAGGCTACATATTATTGTATGGATTATGCATAAACTGTGATGAAAAATGTATTTCCAATGGGTTGAAATGCATGTGCAAGTTTGGTTTTTCATTTCACATGGACATAATATTGAAATTATTCAGTTATCTTTTTACAGAAAATTAAGTATGATCCTCCTCAAATTTTGATTAGTACGAGGGTTGATCAAAAAGTAATGTCTCAGTGTCTATATCTTTTATATTTGGCGTCATATGATCAAATTTTATATACCAAAAGATGCAAAAATATAAATTTAATTAAACTTTAATTTTTTATTCAATATTATTTAACTGAATTTATTTTATAGATGTTTAAAACATATAAGATAGGGGGTGTCGCCGCGTCAAAACCGAACGTCACAAATTAAAATGTACTTTTTTTGTATAAAAAAGACAAACACTTGAAAAGCCTCTTTTAAAAGCGCCTAAACGCAAAATACTTTAAAACACAAAAATTTACATCATTTTCTAGTCTTAAATTGAAAATTATATGACATCACTGCTATTTTTTATGAAAAACATCGTTGATTTATTCCGGTGCATTGAAAAAAGGAAATGTCAAAATGGATAAAAAAGCCAAAACAAACTGTAATGCATTTTTGCTTCAAAATGGAGAAATCGCCGGTAGAGACATTTACGTTGATTCACCAGACTTTCGGAGGAAAGAATGTAAATAAGAGTCTTGTTTAGATGGTTTCAGCGATTTTCGGTGGGTGATGGGTCATTTAATGCTCAGCAGATGACAAGAAAACGGAAAGGTGGGAGGGCGGACGGAAATGTTCAATGGTGCGTGACGTAGTCAAAAAGACAGATGGATAGAGCGATATTTGAATTTTAAGTTGGTCTCTTACTACTGTTCAATAAATTTTGACAGAATTAATTATGAAAAGAGTGAGTGCACGATGGGTACTAAGGGTAAGAAAGTGAAATTTGTGAACGTGATAGTGGATATCAAATCTCAAATAATTTTTAATGAAATCTATCTCCTTTATTTCATAGGTGCGTCTTTGATAGTTATTCTTTTCCTTTATATTTCATGTAAACTACAAATTGGAAAAATTGACCAGATGTTGAAATGTTCTGAAGACTAATTTGTCCTGAAATGCTATTTCTGAAATCTGTTTTGTAATCTACACGGAACAGATGTTTCTTATCTGGAAAGATTAAACCACTTATTGACGATGCCCACTGTTTGTTTGTTTTTATATTTGTTTTTTTTTGTGTGTGTGTGTGTGTTTTTTTAGATCATTATATAACATTTATTCTATTAACGGCTTTCCCTTTCCATAAATATTCCAAACATAGTGAAATGTTACTTTTTAGATGACCAGAGCAGGGTATATATACAGCAATTGTAAGCGTGCCATAGTCAAATTCAAGGGACATGATGAGAAACATCTACATCTGTTTAACCGTAAGTAACCTGACTTCTTTCCTTTTCTCCAAAATCTGCTAATTTTATGATGCGAAATATATTCGTTGACACTTTAAAATCCATTTTGAAATAGATTATGTGCCTTTAAAGTGCTCATATCAGATTTTACCGTGGAATCATTTTAATTCGTGGGGGTCAATGTTCGTGGGTAAGCAACATTTTACCTGTTCGTGGGGACGGAATTTCGTGGGTTACTCGTAAAAACCATGATTCAATGAATCAATATGTTAACAAAATAAACGTTCGTGGGGATGTACATTTGTGAAAAGGGTGACCCAAAAATCAACGGATGGTACCCCACGCACATTGATGATTCTAGAGTATTGTATTATTCATTCAAAATACAAATATAGAAATAATCAATTTTGTTGTATTATGTTGGTATCTTTTATTTAAAAATGACTTAATGTATAAAATATAATAAATTATTATGTCCTTCGGAAGGATTTTTCCCCTAATTATTACAGAGCATTCAACTTTTTTGATGACAGAGCAATCGTGTAATAACGTTTGCAAAACTTGCGTGATCTATAAGGTTAAGACAGCAGGTTTGATCGTTTTAGTTTTCAATCCTGCGTGTAATCATGTCATAAGACTTTTAATGTTGTTCTGTAAGCATTCATCGGAATTTAAATTGTTCGTCAAACAATTAGATTTTATTTACTTTTAACCATGTTAAAGAAAGGAAATGCCATTTATAAATCAAAAATCAAATTGATGTTCGATAGCAAATGAAATATTTTCTATTGAAATATAATAATGATAATAAATAATTAAGTTTTTTCGCAATTTTCTCTATTAAAAAAGAAACGTTTAACTTAACATGAAAATAATGCTTACATTAACGTTCTCTCGGTGACTAAATACGACCTGATTGTCGAGGTTACATTTAAAAGTATTTAATGTTCCTAATTACTTTATTTTTACTTATATGTATTGATTTATTTATATGCTTTGTTTGTTTATCAAATATAAATGGAAAACAATAGTAGCTGATGTTAGAGATTTACAAACGGGAAAATGGATAGAATATTCAGATATGTTTTTTAATTGAATCTTCCATTCCTATTGCTTAGTATCAATTTTGATAGAATCAAATCTCAATGTCTGCTAAATTCTTCTCACACCGACGGCATTTTTACGTATTTTCAAACTTAATCCCGCCAAGTATATATTCCCATTATTTATTTATTTATTTTTTTTTAAATCAGATTTAGAAGTGATAGGAAAAAATATTAAAACTTCATGGAAATACTTACAGACGTCATATTGATATGAAATTTCACAGAAATATTTGTATTTTAAAAAGATTCTACGAAATTAATCGGCATGTTGATATCGCTGATGGAAAGGTACGGAGCGCGACAAAAAAAAATGAAGAAAAAGCATGCGGAATCCGAAATTTTACTCATTAATTTTCTATAATTTGCGATATTTTTTGACAATTTTCTCAAATGTATCTTTACATTGTTCTATCATTATGTACTTAGATTTCTGATATGATATTTGAAGTACTATATATAACAGAAATATAGTGATTTTTCTCCGATGCGATTCTCATGAAAACGACTGTGAAAATGACGTCTTCTGAATTGACGGTGCACAGCACTTGTTAAATTATGTGTAATTCTCGAGATATCGCCACCATAGATCAAAAATACGCATAATATAACATGTAGTTAACTACGGTATTCGTGACATTTGTCTACAATTAGCAAATTGGAATTACCTTTGTACCTTTGTTAAAGGCTATACGGGAGGACGAGAAGATTATCGACGAAAACGTTATCTGGACTGCATGTAAAGGACGTGATTGAGAGTCAACAATATCACACTATATCTCATAAATACCTGCAGTTTTTGTTTTTTGTTTTTTGTTTTTTTTATATATAGATTTTAAGCTCGACAAGAAATGTGTTTGGATGTTGAGTAGATAAGATAACTCAGACTGTACGGGTGCTCTTGGGAAAATGTCGAGAAAATAAAAACTCAACAACATTTTTTTCAATAGTGCCTGTGACTTTACAGATTTTGCTTTTCCGTGACGCAATGATATGTCCTGATAAATAACTCAAAATTGATACCAATAGATAAAATTTTGATATGAAATTTTGAAGACCATATAGGTAAAGATTCGTTTATGTTACTTGTGACATTTTGCCGGATTATGTCGTCAAATATTTTTCCGTGCAACAAGTCCACGTTATTTTTGAACGGCCCTCGCACACTATCAATTATCATATGTATGTGAAAACATTTTAATTTTCATTCATGTATTCATTGTTTTTTCTCCCAAGGTTCTTTTGTCGCTACATCTAACACAAGCACACGCAACTTGGGATTACATCTTTTAGTAAGTATGAAAAATCTATTGATATTGTTTGTGGAATATGTTTCCTTTTTCTCATTTTTGGCAAAAGATAAATAACGAAAAATAGCAATTAAAATTCTTATTGTCAAAAATAGGAGTTAAGTTGGATAATATATCAAATATTATTTTCTGTCAGTGCAAGAGTCTAAAAGACCAGAACAATACAGACGTGTTTTGTTGTATATGTTTCATTTGTGTCTCTTTAATGTACATAAATTTAGCGGGGCTGTTTAATGAAAAACAAACTTTTTAACCTTTTTTCTTACATGCATTACTACATGTAGCATCCAAAAAAAATTAGTTAAAATTGAAATAATCCATGTTGTTGTGTAATAATATAAATATTTTTTTTTCCTTTCAGTAAGAGGGATTCCGAGATGCCAAAACAAGATAGAGGGGTTTTGATGTAAATATTGTTTTTTTGTTATTTTTTGTTTTGTTTTGTTTTTGTTTTTGAGAATGAATAGTGATTTTCAAAATAGAAATAATCCAAGTATTTGTGTTATAGAATATTTTTTCCCCTTCAGTGCGAGGGTTCCCAAGTGGCGATGACAAGATAGAGGGGTTATGATGTAAATATATTGTTTTTATTATTATTATTATTATTATTATTATTATTATTTATGTTGTTGAAAAAAATGAATTGAATTTGGAAATAATCCATGTTTCTATTGTAATAATATGTATTAATTTATTTTTTTTCCCTTTCAGTGCGGGGGAATCAGAGAGGTCAAAACAGGATAGAGGAGTCATGATGTAAATATTGATTCTATCATAATTTGTTGTTGATGTTGATGCTTTTGAAAAGGAGTTTTGAATTCAAAATGGAAAACAAGTTATCCATAGTTTTTCTTCTTTTTTTTTTTTTAGTTTTCTTATATGTTTATTTTATTTATTTATCTTTGGTGTTGTTATCGTTGTAAAAAAAAATAATAAATACTCAGCTATGTTAAGGACTGATATGGAAAATGTGACCTATGCACCGTTTTAATATGTATTACTTCTTTTTAAAAATTATAAAAAAGCAACTGAATACTTGTAGAAAATGTAATATCGCTATCAATAATGGATAGGACTGGACCGTAGTTATTACCAATTACATCGCACGTATCAGCGGTTTGTCACGTGATTTGTATAAAAATAGAATTGTAAAGCTGAATGTAGGAAATGGGGATAGTGCAAGGGCATACGCCTGTTTTTCAAGAAAAAAATTGATATTGATTGACATTAAAAGATGTTTATTTCCTCTACCCAAAAAGTGCTAGAAGCTAGTCAGTGCTGTTAATGAAGTACTGAAAATTTTGCCGAAAATGCTAATAATAGCTAAAAATTTCCACTTAGCTTAAATTCTTTTATAAATAAAAGTAACGTTGTGCAGACCAGGATCAGCTCCCAGCACTTTTCAAAATATACACTATGTGAGCAATAAATATTCCAAATTTTAGCTCAAACAAAATAGTCTATGCCCTTGCACTTTTGTAAATCACGAATACGCTCATCGTTTTAGCGATCTTTTCTATATTCCTTGTCCCTGTGCACCTCCATTCCTGCTAGATAAATTCAGATTCTATATAAATTGTATTTAATCAATTATTTTCTTTTAGTTTTAATGATCAGGTTTAAAAATTAGCCATGGTATCATATTTATTTAAGCATTCTTGTAATTATTAAACCAGTGAATCTAGTCCTCTGGATCACATGTGCTGCGTCATGTCAAGGCTGGTGACGTCATATTCGACTAAAGACTTTCTTCTGTTTCTCGACTGTATTGCTATCAAGTATTGCAATTTTACAAGATTTATGAATAATCGATAAAATAAATAAATTCAAGTTGTTATTTACGCACGATCATGTCGTTAATTAATTCATGTGACTTGTTAAATTTCAATGACGTTACAATTACACTTCCAATACAGTGTACAAGGAATGTGAACTCTGTCCTTCCTTAACATAGCTGAGTAGCAAATACTCAATTTTTAATTTGCCATTTGTGTGTACTTTATCTTGAAACCTTTTTAAAGTAATTTTTTATGTAATGATACAATATTATATTTTTTTTTCGTTTCAGGGCGAGAAAAGCCAGATTGTCGTCCATAGTAGACCCCTGGTGGAGACAATGAAGTTAGCTGACATGTCGGGCGTCCGGGGTACAAATTCATATTTTTTAGATGTTGATTGCCCAAATGCTATTTACTGGATATTTACAATAAATTCATATTTACAATGCACTGTGTCAACCAGTGAATTTGTATGTGCTTTAATTATTCTAACAAAAACAAAATATTTTAAACCAAATTTTAAATATCAATAGATACATTTATAGAGGAATAATACATATGGAAATTATCGACAATATGAATGCATGAGATACAAAGTACCACATTTTAAAAAGTGTTGGCATTAAATATTAATCATTTAAGTTCTTGTGTAAAGTGATGTCTAATTTAAGAAGAATTATTGATATCGGTATACCTGCCAACGTTAAAATGATTTGCATAAAAAGGTATTTATCCTCTTATCGTTACAATTTAAAATATCTACCACTCATACACAATTTTGTTTAGAAATCGTCTTAATTTCTGAATGTAATATGGGAAATTAAATACAGATATGTGACTTGTTAATTTTAAGTACATGTAAGTTCAAGTAGAAAGTCTTACTTCACACTTTTTAATCATATTTCATTTTTATGACATTTTTGAAGAAGGATATGGAGATAACAAACAGTATTCAATCTCAAATTCCATAAAACAATATAAAATAAGAGCACAGCAAACACGGACCCCCGAAACATCAGAGGTGGGATCAGGTGCCATGGAGGAGTGAGCATAACTTGTCAACCGGGCACACCTGCCGTGTGCTCCTTGTCATGATCAGGAAATAACGGGAAGAAAAGTAAACACGTATACCGTTCAAGATTCAGTAAAGAACCTGAAAATGTATTCAAGAGCAAAATTTATGGGGGAATACTAGTATTTTGTATGGTGGAAGGACATTTCGCAGACATTTGAATTGTCACACACGTTTTAACTTTGAGAACATTTTCCGTTATGATACATTTGTATGTTAGGAATATTACATATAGGTTTCAATTCATATTTTTATAACAAATTTTACACCTTCCCTCAGCAAACTTTGCCGAGAAACGAAAATATATTAAGGTACAGTGCAGGGAATTAATTTTGTTACATAAACCAGCATCAGGATCAGCATAAGTAGGATCAGGATGGAGCTAGCATCAGCATCAGCATTTAAAAAAACAGCATTACTTGGATCAGCATCAGCAAGCAAAGGATAGAACTAGCATTGACCTATTTTAAAACCAGCATTGACCTACTTAAAATCAGGATTATCCTGGTTTACTAAAAATACAGATTTGATTTTCACAAAACGAAACCGCAAATAGACATTCCTATTTCAGTCGGAAATAAATACAAAGAATGTATTTCTTGCAGACAAATTGGCCAATATAATCCTAAGATTATTTTTAAATTAATTCAATAGCAATAACCCCGTGATATTTTCAAATCTGAATCAGCTGATCACCAAACGCTATGGAGTCCACTGGTGAGGCCACGCCACGGATTGATGATATTGAGATCGGTGATAAAGGGGTAAGTAGTTAGGCTTGCACATGAAAAATCAGTTAAACAATATAATAAAAGTATGATATTGTGAATATGAATAATTACTACAAAATTCCATTGGGTTTTATGGGCATACACATGCTACGAAGTTTTTCAATCCGAATTTCCTCTAAATTTACGGAAATCAAAAATAAAAGTCGCAGTGCCTTTGACGAGATTATCTGCAAGCAATTAATCATAGACTGGGGTGTAATGAACAAAACGTAATAATTAATCCAATGCAATAGTTGATTTTATGTTAATGAATCTGGTGTAAATATTTTTTTAATGCGAAAGTTCTTAAAGTTTATAAAAACTTGTGCAGAAAAATGAATTTGTGTATGTACAAAAAATCATTTTGAAATAGCTAAAATAATTATGATATATAGGAGAGAGGATCTGTGCTTGAAAATATGCATACATTTATTTTAAAACTTTTTCACTACATATTCTTTTCCTTGTTTGATGAATAGCATCTTCATAGTGGAAAATTGTGTATACAAAGTAGTTTGTATGTCCTTAGCTGCAGATCTGTAGCTCTCCGAAAATAAATATATTGAGAGACTGGAGAGCTACAGTGCCACCCATGAAAAAAACTGTATATTTATTGCACACAAAAAAGTGTGCTCGGTTCTTGATTAATTCTTCCAAATTCTTACCTCAATTGCAAACATGAAAAGATTTTAAAAAAAATTTCATTATCCTCAATCAAGTACTCTTGTAGTTGACATCTGTCAACGAAGCGTATTGGACCGAATTATCTTTGAAACTAAAATGGCAGTATAAATAAGCGAAATGTTCGATGACCACAATATCAGGGTCAGGAGGACTATTAACAACAATATGAGGAATGTTTGGTTGTGGAAACAGCGAAAGAATATGTTAGGAACACATGGTTAGTAATATGTTGAGATTACAGTATGTTTTAAAAACATGGAGAAATAAATTGAGAACCAAGCACACTTTTTTGTGCGCAATAAATATACAGTTTTTTCAATGGGTGGCACTGTATCTCTCCGGTCTATCAATATATTTTTTTTCGGAGAGCTACAGATCTGCAGCTAGTATTTTCTGTATGTAGAATTTATTTTTTAAATGTACTTGAATCAATTTATACCCTTGCAGATTAGATCTCATTTCAATTAAATACACAAACTTTAATCAATAGGAAGTCTACATAATTATATATGCTATAAATAATTATTTGTGTTTTTCCCACATTAAAATTGTGGGAGATTAAAAAAAAATAATAATAATAATATTAAGGTGATCAATCATCAATGAATAAATCTTGTCTTCTTTGTACTTTTATAGAAATGGAGTGCTATGAACAGTCCACAGTTTTGTTGCTTCATCACCGCACATAAAAATCTAGAGATCTAATTCATTCATATGAAGACGCCAACACGTTCCGGTGAAGGGCTGCATATTTTAACCTGTACTCAGCACTAAAGCCTTCGAAAAGTGAGAGATCTTTTTCGTACCAACACCTACATGAACTGCGACACTGGAACACGGTTTATATGGTTTCATTCAAAGGACCGGACAATCTACATGCAGTGATGTCGGAGACTGATGATTCAAACAAAATTCTGCTTTTTAAAAAAGACAAGTGTTCTTCATTCCTAAAAGTAGAGAGCAGGGACAGTAGAGGACATGAACAGTATGATGTAATGGTGGATTTATAACTTACAATAAAAAAAATTCTAGAAAGTTAATTTGTTGAAAGAAACTACTGGTGATAAAGAAAAAAAAAACATCATTTGTTCATGCGAACACCGTGATTCTATTCATTTATTTATTTGACTTTATTGACATAATATAATACAAGTTAAAAAGAGTGAATATGGGACATGAATTGTAAAACTATTAATCTAATAATTACATGATTACACTATTTCATATAATTCTAAAAGATGTTATGGGACACTTTGTAATTTCATTTACATTATAATTTCATTGGTTAACTTGGCACTGACTATAAATAATTTGTAATTTTTAGACACTGGAAATTTTGTTTTTATTGTGAAATGTTTCCATGAAGTTAAAATTTTACATGTGTACTTTGTTGTTCTACAACAAACATAAAATAATATTTATTTTGTCTCCTACTTCAAATATATTGTGCCCTAGTACAGCACTATTAGCTTCTAAGGAGTGGTAGAAGAAAAATTTGGTAAAGATGATAAAAGATTTTGCTAAATTTTCAGAAAATGAACATTTTACCAAGGCGGTTAATTAAGACAGAACAGAAAAACTGATAGAAAATGTTACTGTAAATTTCATGTTAAGCATGTTAAGTTTTCATTTTTAAAATTGCGAAATTTGTTTTGTACGGCACTTAATTAACAGTTTTAATTTCACATGTATATCATCAAGATGAAAAGAATTATCTGGCTAGCAGCAAACTCTTAATCTATGGTACACTAGAGCATATATAAATATTGGATGATTTAAACTACTGGCTTAAACAATTAGGAAAATGTATTTATTACACTGTCTAGTATCATGATATAAGGGAAGAAATATCTACACCGTAAAACATGGTTATAACGAACACGCTATTAGGCCAAAAGAAAATATACTCTTGTTTCCTATCCCCTGAACAAAAAAAATAGGGTAGGTAGGTTAGGGAAAAAATTTAATATGGGAAAAAATTTTATTTTCAAAACTCAATGAATGCAGAACTGCCAGAATATATAGTATGTAATAACAAGAAAGTTTGTTAATAAAGATTTTTAAAGTAAAGATATCCTGTACACTTATAATGTATTAGTTCTGTAAATATTGTTGGTCAACTTTAGTACTTTAGGAAAATAGTGACCCCAAAAATGAAAATGTAATAAAAACTTTTAGGGTTGGAGGGTAAAATGTAGGGTAGGACAGGTGACAGGAAACAAGAGCATTTTTTTTTATTTTGGCCTAATGAATTCATGCTGATGATGGAGTCATTTTCAGTCTCTTATTGCAGATTTATAAATATGGAATTTTCAAATTAAAGTTTTAAATGAATTAATACAAATAAAGAAATGTTTTTATTTAAATTCAAAATATTAAGAATTAAATGAATCAGGACACACCGGTATTACTATTTTTGTCATTAAAATTCATTAATCTTGGCACATCAGTGAAAATTTTACCAGTCATCAATAAGTGTTTGATATTCTTTTTCAAGTGATTTAAAAAATCTATTTTTAGAGTATTCATGAAAATGCAATTAAGAATTATATATGCTTCATTCAGCTTCAATAAGAACACTACATGTAACAGAAATATTGCCTATTTACAATGAATGTTGGTGTCCTCAAAAATAAAATATCAGGGGCAGTATTTTTTTTAAAATGTAGATACTAAAAATACAACTTGGACAGAATATCATATAAACATGTACTGCATACAGGGTTATTTTCGCCCTTTTGAACTTGTAAACAATTTTCCCCCGTTTTAAATTCGCCCAAGTCATACTTCTGTTTAAGAAATTATGAGGTGTAATTTGAATTTGCCCCGTTTTAAATTCGCCCAATCAAGGATAGGGCGAAAGGGGTGAAAATAAAACGGGGGCGAAAATTTCCCTGTATACAGTATCTCTCAATTAGTACATTACACTTAAAACAAACATCACACTATTGTAAAACTATTGTTTTCATTTATTCTATAAAAACAATTTATGTATGGACAATCATCATGAACACTTGTAAGATTGTACAAAAGAGCAGGGATGCATTTCTATTTACATACATCTCATATCTAGTTATGTACAATATACAAATCACTTGAAATCCACTTTAAACTTTAAATTCTGTCCATTTCATTTTAGATCTAAGTGGGAGATAATTTTAAAATGTATATAAGTATGTCATCAATGGATTTGGCGCACATCATCACAACGGTTTTAATGCCACTGTCTGATTATCAGAAGTTCCTGGCTTGAATTTTCACTATTTTAACAGATAGAATTTCATCAGCTGGATTTAGG